TGGACATTCCTTACATAAAATTGTGGACAAAATTAATGTTAAAAAATAGGCAAAAATTTAGGGGAGGACCAAAAGTGCACCAGTATTGCAAACATGAGGGACTATTAGTGCTCCATCTGAAAACTCAAGGATGACTTTGAGCTTTAACCCAAAGATGAGGGACTATTTTGAGCCTTTCTCGAGTACTTATCATCTCCTTTTGCCAGTTTCATGTCGAATCACTCACCAAACTTCTTGTGCATATACTCCTCAACAAAATGGGGTCGCCGAACGTAAAAATAGCCATCTCATTGAAACTGCTCGTACTTTACTTATGCACCATCATGTTCCTCTTCGTTTTTGGGGGGATGGCGTTCTCACTGCTTGCTATTTGATAAATAGAATGCCCTCCACTGTGTTGCAACATCAAAGTCCTCACTCAATTCTCTTTCCAGGTCAAAATCCCTATCGTATACCTTTGAGAGTGTTTGGATGTACTTGCTTTGTCCATGATCCAAGTACTAGAAATGACAAACTCCAACCAAAATCAATTAAGTGTGTATTTCTAGGATACTCTTGTCACCAAAAAGGTTACAACTTACAAGTGCTATGATCCAAAAACAAATAAACATTTTATCACTGCAGATGTAACATTCTTTGAAACATCTCCCTATTTTACACCAAGCACTACAAGCAAAAAATTAATTCCTCAAATTTTGCTAGTACCTATACTTCCTCTGCCACAAATCAGTCTTCCAAACAACCCTCAAACCAGTGATCCTCCTCTTCAAGTATACACCCGACATGCTCGTCCTCTTAGTGATAACAGTGATAATACTACTCCTAGTACAGATACATTAGTAGGTCCTGATGATTCATCTCTTGCTCCTTCGTCACCTGCTCCAGTCGTGCCTTTATCAAATGCAACAACCCCACCAATTGCCATACACAAAGGTATACGTACTACTCGAAATCAACAACCGAGATATAACTGCTTAAGTTATCATCGGTTGTCCCCATTATATTATACCTTTGTATCTACCCTATCTACTGTACCTATACCAAAGACTGTTAGTGAAGCATTAGAACATCCAGGGTGGAGAGATGCTATGATCGAAGAGATGAATGCTTTACAGACAAATAACACTTGGGAATTGGTCCAGTTACCAAAGGGGAAATCTACTGTTGGAAGTCGATGGGTTTATACCGTGAAGGTGGGTTTGAATGGAACAATTGATCGGCTAAAAGCTCGCCTTGTTGCCAAAGGGTACACATAGATTTATGGTCTTGACTATGGTGACACATTCTCTCCAGTTGCCAAAATTGCATCTGTCCGACTGCTTATTTCCTTGGCAGCAATGCATCATTGGCCGCTTCATCAACTAGATATTAAGAATGCCTTTTTGCATGGTGAACTTGCTGAGGAAGTTTATATGGAGCAACCTCTTGGATTTGTTGCTCAGGGGGAGTCGAACTTAGTATGCCGTCTCAAACGTTCTCTATATGGCCTCAAGTAATCTCCGAGAGCATGGTTTGGCAGATTTATCTCTGTTGTCCAACAATTTGGGATGTCTCGAAGTAAAGCAGATCACTCTGTTTTCTATCGACATAATTGCCCAGAAAAGAACATGTATTTGGTCGTTTATGTTGACGACATTGTCATAACTGGAAATGATCTAGAAGGAATATCTCAGCTAAAGAGGCATTTGTTCAGTCACTTTCAAACCAAATATTTGGGAAGTTAAAGTATTTTTTAGGAATTGAGGTAGCACAATCCAAGACAAGTATTGCTATCTCACAAAGAAAATACGCTTTGGACATATTAGAGGAGACATGCATGTTAAATTGCAAACCTATTGACACTCCTATGGATCCAAACATCAGACTCGTTCCTGGACAGGGGGAGCCATTGGAAGATCCTGGTAGATATCGAAGACTGGTTGGTAAATTGAATTATCTAACTATTACACGCCCCCCCGGATATTTCATTTGTAGCAAGTGTGGTTAGTCAGTTTCTCCAAGCTCCATGTAAAGATCATTGGGATGCAGTAATTCTCATCCTCAGATACATCAAAAGAGCTCCAGGACAAGGATTGTTATATGAAGACAAAGGTCACGCTGACATCATTGGATATTCTAATGCGGATTGGGCATGTTCTCCAATAGATAGACGCTCTACTTTCGGGTATTGTGTCATGATTGGAGGCAATTTAATCTCTTGTGTTGATCAATATTGTGTAGGGTTTTAGGTCTCCATAGCTCTTTACCTCCACGAGGTAGTGGTAAGGTATGCATACACTCTACTCAACCTAGACCCCACTTATGGGATTTCACTGGGTATGTTGTTGTTGTTTTAGTTGTCCATTGCAGTAGGTCTCAGTGATATAGGTTTGAAAATCAGTTGAGCAAACAATTTGGAAAGAAAATTGATTAAACACCGAGAGGCTGAAGACTTAGGTCTAAAAATCTATCAAAGTTTTTTAACGATTATATGTGCACTTAAGCAATATGACCAAGATACTTATTAGTACCACTGGACTTTTCTTGTTTTTATTGTTGAGCGTGGAAATACAACCGAAACATAAACAGGTTGTAGTTGTTGAAATATTGAGATAAGTAGTCTTGCTCCCTGGAGTATTTATTTGCCTTGCATATTTTGAAGCCGTTAAATCTACAACTTACTATTAAAAGTCTACAACAGAGGAAAATTGCAAATATATTAAATATTTGTGAACCCAGACCCCACTTGTGGGATTACATTGGGTATGTTGTTGTATATTAAATACTGGTGAAGTTGAATGATGACCGAGTAAATTGAAAGCAATCAAGTAGTCTATCGACTTAGTTTTGCCCTCTTTAGTTGTAAAAGATTACTACTTTTCCCGTTTGTTATTTGTTAGAATAGTAATAGGTATATACAATCCTGCTTAGTATAGGCATAAGAATAACAATAGTAATATGAATAGTATATACTGTCCTACTTTGAAAAAGATTGTATTGCAGTGTCCTAGTTGGAAAATGTGTGTTGTAGTGTCTATAAATAGGGTTAAATAGGGTCTCTCTGTAATAATGTAGAAACAACAATTCAGTAATATTTTTCTCCTATATTTCTTACATGGTATCAGAGCCTCTACGGTTTTGGTAGAAAATCAAATAGCTTCTGCTGCCAGCGGGTGGCTATGAGTAGCTATTACTCATATATGCTGCCTGGCCAATGATTATGTTAGCAAAAGTTGGGTCAACGTGTATCTTTGATGTGCCTATTTTCTCATATCTAATTTGTGTAGCACCGTGCCATCATTCCGGTGACTACTTTCTTATATCTAATTTGTATAGCACCATGTCATTTTTTCGGTGACTATTTTTTCATATTTAATTTGTTTAGCACCGTGTCATCCTTCCGATGACTATCTTTTTTTGCATATCTTATTTGTGTAGCACCGTGCGTCTATTCGGACTATTTTTCATATTTAATTTGCGTAGTACCGTGAATTTTTCCGAATTACTTTCTCATATCTGAGTTGCATAGCACCATGTGTCTTTTCGGTGACTCTTCAGATTTGATTTGCATAGTTCCATTCGTCTTTTTGGTGACTCCTCAAATCTGATTTGCGTAGGGTTGTGCCATCATTCTGATCCTACCCATATGATTTCTCTTTTCAGTAGGGTTGTTGCCATCATTCTGACTCTACCCATATTATTTCTCTTTTTCAATAGGATCGTGCCATCAATCCGACCTTTCCTATATAATTTCTATTTTTCAGTTTGGTCGTGCCACCATTCCGACCCTACCCATATAATATTATTTGTTAGATTGTGACCACTTTTTGCAATCAAATCTAATACTTCGGCATATGAGCATGTTCTGGCCAATTTTTTCGGTGACTTTCTTGTTTAAGATCGACTCGCCTATTGATTCCAACATGATCCATACACTTTATAGTTTATACTAAATTTTGAGCACTTTTCGGCGATCGTTGCATTGTGAAGAAGTCTATATTGAGCAACCACCTAATTTTGTTGCTCGGGGGAGTTTAGTAGCCTTGTATGTCGATTGTGTAAGTCACTCTATGGTCTGAAACAGTTTGTGCAAGCTTGGTTTGGGAAGTTCAACACTATAATTTATCACTCTGCGTTTTATCGGCATTATGCATCAAATCCAGTATTTCATGAGAAGACTAAGCACATTGAGATTGACTGTCAATTTTGTGAAGTCGAGTGATCAACTTCTAGATATCTCACCAAGCTCCTCATCGGTCCTCATATTAATTATAATTGTAACAAGCTAGATATATATGATTTGTATGCCCTAGCTTGAGGGGGAATGTTAGAATAGTAATAGGTATATACAATCCTACTTAGAATACGAATAAGAATAGTAATAGTAATAGGAATAGTATATAGTGTCCTACTTTGAAAATAATTGTATTGCAGTGTTCTAGTTGGAAAAGGTGTCTATTGTAGTGTCTATAAATAGCGTTTCTCTCTAATAATGTAGAGACAACAATTCAATAATATTTTTCTCCTATATTTCTCACATTATTTATACTAGTATTTTCATCCTAAGAGTCAAAAGGCCTAAAATCTCTAAATTCCACGGGGTCTTAAGAAGACCATAGGACAATGAAACAAAAGATCCATATATGTGACACCAACTAATCGGGATTAAGGTTAGCATGTTGGTTCACTTAAAATTATGTGATGTGTTGTCAGGAGTGTTTAGATTTATATCAGTAAAAAATGATGAGAATTTCTAGTGGTAGAGAACCCTTAATTTGTCTTAAAAGACAAGTTTTTGAGTGTTGGAATGCAGTATGTGCTAATGGGTGTTGAGGATTCATAGCTGACCTTAACTAGTTAGAGATTGAGGTGCATGCTTTTTTGTTGCCTTTTTTGCTGTTGTTGCTTTCTATCCACTAAATGTTTGATTACATTTTTGTTGTTCAGTTTCATGTTTCATCCCCACGAGCTTTCTAACAGGAAGCAAACTTTTACCTGAACTTTACATGCTTTTGTTGCAGGACTAAAGGAGCTTGATTTGACAGGAAACCTGCTTTCTGATTGGAGGGTAATGCATTGCTTCTCTGAGTGAAGTTGGATCCTATTCTGTTTGGTTGCGTAATTTCAGCATATTGCAGATTGTAACCAGATCCTTTTCTGATGCACTCTCTAGCTGTTGATGACTGGTTATGCGATGTGATGATTTTTACACTGTTCAATTTTGTGGTGATATAGTTTGATTTTGGGTATAGATTAAGAGGTTAATTTTGACCACATGATATGCTCTTCAAAGAAAAACTTCTTTTGTATGTAGTAAAGAAGGTGAACTAACTACTAGGAAAACATCAGATCATGGTTCAAATCTGAAATGGTTAATTGCATCTTAAAGCTGAATAGTTTCAAGGGTCTGTTGGATTGTAAGTGTCTTGAACATTAGACTGAAAACTTGTCATGTGAACTGGTTAAAACTAGATATCAAATGTGAAGGAGAGGGGAAGATTGTGTTCATGCTGATTTCCTTTTCCATAATACTTTACTCAGAGTTTACTTTCTTAGATATAATATATTGGATTTTCAACTCTACAAGGGCCAATTAAACTTTGACCTTGTCTCAAGAAAGCATGAGTCCAACTTTTTGGTTGTAATGTTTAGGTGTACTGCAGGATGTAGAGAATCAAAGTCGAAAGAAAACTCATATCATTAATTGCAGGATTCTTTGTATTCCATCATTTTTGTGCATTGTTGTATGCAGAACTGTGGCACCAGTGCTTTTGCTCTCTCTCTCTCTCTATTAAAAAAATACTGTTTAGCTGAGCAAGCATATCTTCACAGGAAATTGCTGCAATCTGTAAAGAGTTACCAGCTCTTGTAACTCTGAACTTATCATACAACATCATGTCTCACGATATAAGTGGGATGCCCCTGCTAAATCACATCAATGTTGTTGTTTTGAACCACACCGGTATAGGCTGGAAACAGGTGAGAGCAGCCTTATTGCTGTCTTCTTCCATTTAACTTAATTGTTGATTGAGTTAGAGGTATTTGATTTGGCAGGTCGAAATGCTTAAAGACCCTATCCCTCTTGTTGAAGAGCTCCATTTGATGGGAAATAAGCTGAGAGGAATAACGGTGTGTTTTCCCTTATTAGAGTTATTGGCAGTTAAATCTCAAATTTCTGATGTTAATTGTTAATATCCACAAGTTTTATGAGTTCTTCCTTACTGAAGATAAATAGCTGTCTTATGCCATTATCTTTTCATCTTTTTTGTATCTCTTTGTGATCTCTCTCTTAGACAGGGAAACTTGTCACATAACAAAACAAACAAGTGTTAACTCACTATCCAGTAAAAATCCTTCCAATTTCACTGATATATGCTTAAGCGTGCTAGGAGCTATTGCAAAAACTAAAGGAACTATTGAAAATAAAGTTGTGATTTGAACCCATGAGTTTGCATGATGATTCATCTGTTATCTAGCAGAAACTTCATTGTGACTCCAACATTTGCTTTTGTTCCTGGATCATCATCATTTTCTTATGACGGAATGGATCATCTAGGAGATAAGAGGATGATGAGGATTTTGGGGAGGTGCTCTCAGCTATGGTCGCAAGATAATTGTGGGATACACAACCAAATATTCCAGATAGATTGCCAAATTTAGTTTTGTTTTACCATTTCTTATAGTTTGACAGGAAAATCCATATATCTCGACTCTTATATTGACCACTCAGGTTTTAATGAGATTCTGCACGGTAATAACAAGTACTTGCTTAATTTTGTTTGCCACATGAAAATTGGGGCATAAAGTTTGCTACTGCATTCAGTCGTTAGTGGGGAGAACATTTAACTGGGTCGAAATCAATTTAACAGATAATGTCCAGACAAATTCCGGTTCCAGAATTACCAGAACAAAACTTTTAAATTTTCAGATGAAAGGCATAAATACTGTTTGAAAGTTCCTACTAAGTGTATTCTCTGAGTAAAGTGCTCATCAATGATCATATTCATTTCCTAGTAACTGACATCAAGTACAATTACTATTCTACTACTCTCATGTCTGTAACCAATAGAGTACTAAATGAGCTTCCATATGAAGTACAAGGATGAATCTCTGCATATATGTAAATTAGATAGAGGCCTCATGGTTAATGAAGTGCATTGAGAAACATGAGGTCTCTTGTTCAAATCCCAGCGGAGGTAAAAACACTTGGTAATTCGTTTCATTTGTCCAATCCTTGGTAGATAGAGTTACCCCCTATTTGTGTTGGTGGGAGGTACGCGCAAGCTGGTCCACACACTACAATTATGAAAAAATGATCTAAATTATTCACTGATTTGCTTAAAGATTTTTTTTTCTTTTCCAGCCATTATCTTCAGATATTGTTCATGGATTTGATTCTCTCCGTCTTCTCAATTTGGAGAATAACTTCATAGCTGCCTGGGATGAAATCTTGAAGCTGTCACAGTTAAAAAGGTAATGCAAATTAATGTCCTCGTCAAACACATTACTGTTATGTTGCATGTCAATGAGATTCTAGTTTGCCTTCTTACATTCAGATTGGAACAGCTCTTTTTGAATAACAACTGTATCAGTCATATCTGGTACCCTGATCATAATCCATTATCTGAACCACCCAACAGTCATGAACTTCTTGGGGAAAGCTTTAGGCCTTTCCAGAATCTTCGTTGCCTTCTTGTGGGTAATGCTGCAACTCTTTCTAGAATTAGCATTACTCCTGATATTTAATTGAGATTTAACTGGTAGGTTACTTGTTGCATTTACAGGAGGGAACAAAATTGAAGACTTTTCTTCTATTGATACTCTTAATCTTTTTCCTAATTTGTTGGTAAGATTTTTTAAAGCATTTTTTCATGAGTTATTTGGATAATGATTTGTTACTATAAGATAAACTCTTATCTGGAAAACGAATGTAATAAACCGTGTTTGTATCTAAATTCTTGTGGTGGAGCTTCATATCAAGTGATCTAAATATTTTAGTGTTACACATTAGATGCATATCTTGAAATTATGCAGGCACTACATGCGTGTCCTTTTCTTTATCCTTCACTATCTTTTATAACACGTTGCTGGTATGTTATTTACGGCATAATGTGGTTGTTTCCATTGGATCTCACTTTGTATCCAAATGGTTCTTGTAATTTAGAACTTTGCGTTTTACTCGAGGGATAACCTGTTCTCTTTGCATTTCTTATGCGTTTATGAGAACTATAGATCATGATGTTTTTTTATTGTATTAGTAGCTGACATTTTACTTGTATACAATAAAAAGTTTTTTCCATCAATAAGTCTCAACGAGCTAAGTGCAATCTAGCTTTTAAAGCTATAGCCATGTTTACGCTGTACGTGTTGTCACTAATTTGAGCTATGGTTCTGTCTTTCACATTGTAGTTTGTTCTACTTTTGGTTTCACCTCCCTCCAACATTCAAGGTTCTTCTTGAAGCGTTTGAATCTTGAGTGGGCATTTATCAGGCATTACTATAGTCGAACAAATAAATAACAAAATTTTAAAAGAATATCACTGTTGACTAACAACTATTGTAGACATAGTTATTCTTCTCAAGGAAAGCTACTCTAGAGATACTACAGTTGTCAAAAGATGTTCAAAATTTCTAACTGCTTAAAACCTTGCATTGGTCTATTTGGTATAACACAATGGAAAGAGCTAAACTGACATGTCAAAAGGGTGTGTATGTGCAGCTCTTAGTGCTGTAAGGAAGAAAATGAAGTCCTATTATTCTCTTCTGTTGTCGAAGTTCTTTTATCATTAAAGAACAAAGATTGCTAATTGCAGTGATCCACAATTTACTTGCTTGCTATCTATACAAGTGTAGCTACTAGAAAGTTCTACTCTCTACAAGCCTTGGTATCTTGTTTCAAATTCATGTTATTTGGTCAAATTTTGGTAGGATATAAGGCTTTCTGAGAATCCAATAGTTGATCCAAGAAAAGGTGGTGTCCCCCGGTTTGTTTTGATTGCTCGTCTTGCAAAAGTTGAAATTTTAAATGGAAGCCAGGTAAATCCTCATATTCTATTGACTAATTTTTGCAAGCATTTGAAGTTGCTCAAGTCTTTCGTTCCTTCTATCTCTTTCAGGTTAGTCCTCGAGAGAGGAAAGACTCTGAAATTCGGTATGTTCTCTTTCTTATGTAGCATGTGCTAATAAATTCAGAGTGATTACATCTGGATCATTATCATTTACCTATGCATCTAGAAATGTTTTTTGGTAAATTAATTAAATGATATCATAAAAACATCAAGAAGATGCAAAGTAACAAAGGAACAAAAGAAGCTGCTTCAAACAGAATTCATGAAGTATGCTTTGTAGAAGACCTGTAAAAACAGCGAAAAGAAATCCCTACATCTCTACTGTACTAGAGATAGGGAACTTATGGTAATGAATAATCATGAATCCAATATGTAGCTGGTTTATTGTTGAGAAGCATATTTTAACTAATCTTCCTTACTATTGGATAGGTGGCACCTGTACTTGTAAATTTAGTCACCATTATTATTAGTTCCTCATTTCTTTTTGTTTTTGGGAGGGGTCTGGGGTAGGGGTGGGCAAAAGTACCAGAAAACCGGCTGTGTATTTTTTTTAAAAAGTTCAGTTCTTTGATTCGTTGTTCGGTGTAAGGGTCTCAGAACTTCGGTGCACCGAAGAACCAAACTTTTATTGAATGTTTTTTTTAAAATAATATATATATATATATATATATACAAAAGTCAACTGGCAATTAAATTAATCATGAACAAATCAAAGTAGCAACAAATTTACAATCGATAGTTAACTTCAAATATTAATTCCCAAGACGAACCCAAACATATTTTTGCCGATGCACGTCATGTAAGGGAACCCATTTTCGTCCTTGTTTTCTCGAGAAGTAGTTGGAGGCACAATGTTCTTGACAAAGATAAATATGGTCTTTTTAGCGCAATAAGTATTCCATGGTAAGACACATCATCACTTCTTGTTTTTGAGATAAAGGTAACCGTGTATTCACAGTAGGCTCATCATCAAACAAATGATGAGCATAGGTCACTTACAATCTCATCAGAGCATGCCAAAACTACCCTATGGGAGATTACAAATTTCCTATGAAATCACCAAAAAGTTTTATATCCCCTGCCATATTTTGCTTACACGAAAAATACAATAGACTAAGGCAATTCACTCTAATCTTCTGGGTGTTAATTTCTCTTATCCTCAAAGCATCTTGCATTTCTTTCTTTCCATAGAGTCCACCATATGCAAGCTGGGATTAACTCCCACCAATCTTCACCAGAACCTCTTCTTCCTATCTCCTCCCAGTTGTATAATGTCCTTTGTAGTCCTTGGCATTACCCAATACACACCAAGTATACAGAGAGATATGTTCCATAGGTTTGTAGCTACTTTGCAATGGAGGAAAAGATGTCCATCAACTTCTGCATCTTGATCACACATGAAGCACCTTGAACATATTTCTCTCCCTTTTTTCTGAAGCACTTCATGAGTCAAACATGCCCTTCTGCACACCAACCAAGCAAAACGTGATTTTTAAAGTGTCTAATTATACTTTGATTTTCCTCACTTTATTTTTCATTCGCACCGAAAAACCATTTTAAAAACACCGAACCGAATCGAATTAGTTCGGTTTGGTATTGGGTGCACACTTTTTCAAAATAAAAATCAAACCAAAGTTTGATAAAACCGAACCGAATGTCCACCCCTAGTCTGGGGGGATAAAACCTATTTTAGTCTCTTTATGTTTGAAATATATTAACTGTGTACCCATCATGTACTGAAAAAGTGTCAGTCCATCTATTAAAGTTTTAACTTCAAATTTTATTAGAGAAATATATCGAAATTCTGGGAATTTCTAAACAGAAGCCAAAAAACTCAAGGGAAGTTGTTATTCTTCTTTCTCTTTTTTTTTTTTTTTTTTTTGAAACTGGTAACTTTTTGGCTTAAACTGTTACAGTTAATTCTTAAAGGCTATGCTGGCCACCTCCAAAAACTTAAAGGCTATGCTGGCCACCTCCAAAAACTGTTACAGTTATTCTTCTTTTTCTTAATTCTGCATCAGCTGTTCTTTGAGAAGTATAGCTGTTATACATCTTACTATGGGATGAACTAAAAGTTAAAGCCTTTGCCTCACTTAATGCAAGTTATTTATGTGTTTTGTTTGAACTTTGCAAATATGAGGCATTATTTGTTGGTTATTGTGATATTCTTAACTTGTTTTGATATTTTGTTTCTTTTATTTTTTTGAGAAAGGTAACTATTTGTATTCATAGTAAAGCTCAGAACCAAAAAGCTACTGAGCTGTGAACTTACAAACAAAAGTATAGAGGGATCATGTTCTACACAAAATCTTACACATTGTTCATTAAATCTAACAAATCCCCAACTCCCCCTACATGTTCTGTTTGCACCAAAAAAAGGAAAAGGCAGACAATTCATCCCGATTTTTTGGATGGAGTTGCTGGTGTCTTAAAATTTTTTCGAGTTTCTTTACTTCAAAGTAATCCACCATACACAAGCTGGAATGATCATCCACCAATCTTCTACATTGATTCTCCTCCCCACACTCTTCCATCAGTTTAGGAAATCTATAGGAGAACTAGGCATAGTCCAATTTATGCCAAGAATACAAAAGAAATGTTCCACAGATTTTTAGTTCTCTTGCAATGTAAGAAAAGATGCTCATTGCTTTCACATTCTTGACAACATAATGGACATCTTGAACAAATCTGAAGACCTCTTCTATGTAATTTCTCTTGGGTCAGGCAGGCTTTCTGTTTTGGTTTGCAAGCATTTTTGGGATGAGGCTGGTGTTTTGTTACGTTCTTGCTGATGGATTCTTTGGGAAAATACACTAACTTGAGGCACTTTACTAGATTTTAGTGGAGCCATTGTTCAGATAATAGACTTTGATATCCTTCTTCAGGTATGTCCGTTTGGTCATGTCTAAATGCCAGGATAACCCAGAGGAAATTAAGAAGCTTCACCCCAGGTATATATTTTATTTACGACGTAAACTTGTCTTCAAATATTTTGATATGGCTAGTATATCAAGAAGCCAACATTTCGTATATTTGGTCTCTGGAAAATGTTAGCTTGTGTCATTGGTACAACTTATTTGTAGGATGTTTTGGAAAAAATTGTAGTACCTACATAGAAAAATAAATACTTCAACCTATTCCTCTGTTTTCTGATTTACTTGCTTATATCTAAGTTATATGCATCAATAGTGAACTTTTACACGATCAGGTTATTTTGACCTTTTATAGAAGATTGTTTCCCTTCTTTTAAGATGCCAATTTAATATTTGTATATAAAATTTGTCTACTCTCTACTGTTGCCTTTTAAGTGACTTGCTAGTGAATAGTTTTTACACCATCAATGCATAGAACTTATACTCATATGATAACTACATTTACTTTATCCTTTTGTTTCTTTAGGAGTCGTTTGGTTTGAATTCAAGTTATGATGGGATTAGTTCTGATGGGATAAATTATGATGGGATAAGTTATGCTAAGATTATTTTCTATTGAATGTTTGGTTTGTTGTATTCAAAATAATAAATCTTAAGAACCAACATATATGTTTACAAAAATACCCTTCAGGAATGTGAAAAGTAATGTATAAAAAGTGTTTAAAGGGATATTTTTGTCATTTAGTCATTTTATCTTGGGATAAGTTATCCCGGGATTACTATACCACCCAAGGGAAGGGATAACTTATCCCGGTACTAATTATTAATCCTGGGATAAGTTATCCCGGACTTGCCAACCAAACAACAAATTAAGTGGCACTATAATTTAATCCCAGGACTATTTGAAGTTATCCTTCACACCAAACGACCCCTAAGAGTATTAACTAGGACCCTTACTAGTTCTCTAAAGTATGTGTTAATTGGTGCAGATTTGCAGAGCTGAAAAAATTTCATGGGATTGAGGATGAAAAGGCTGCAACTGGAGCAACAGGTCCACAAAAAATGTCATCGAGTCTCATTTGTATGGACTGTCAACTCTAAACTTCTCCAAAATTAGACTAGATTTTATAATCTGATTCAAGAAAATGCTCTTACCGGTTATGCTCGCCTCTGCAGCTATTACCCTGAAGTGTGTTGCAGCATCAATTGGTGAAAAAGTCCCACTGACTAAAAAGCTGCCGGCAACAACAACAGTATGATCTTTTCATTTAATAGCCAAGCATTTGATTCCTCTATGGTTTAAGGTTTTTACTCATCTCTTGGTTCAATTCAGGTTGGCAAGCTGAAAATCCTATGTGAGAGTTTCTTCAAGATAAAATCTGTTAAACCGAAGTTGTTTCTTCAAGAAGAGGTACGTATCAGTCACTTAGATTTCATGAATAGATGATATAATGGATCAAACCCCCCTTAAACAATCACATTTTTACAAGTTTCATACTTAAACCATACCTACTTTACGTTACCCCCTGAACTATAACTTTTTAAGTGCTAAACCCCCCTAAACTATCACATTTTTATTTTAGTTTCATACTTAAAGTATAGGTTACGAGCAGGTGCTAAACCCCCTGCTCATTATATGTTATGCAAGTGTGTTCACCCTCCAAAAAGCTTATAAAAAATGTCCATTGGCACTACATGTGTTATTTTTTTTTTCTTTCATGTTTTGTTTAGATTATTAATGGCTTTAATTATAACATAAATTCTAATTAAATAAGTAAACTAAAGAAACACAAAAGCTAAAAGTAAAGATGAATTAAAAGTTAAAAGGGAGATGAGAACTAGGCATAGTTATCAAAGAAGTATAGAACTCATAAAAATATGATAGTTTAGGTGGGGTTTAACACCTGAAAGTTATTATTCAATGGGGGTGGTGTGTGTGTGTGTGGGGGGGGGGGTGTAACATAAACTATGCCTAGGTTTACGTATGAAACTAATAAAAACATGACAGTTTAGGGAGGCTTTGATTTATCGTCTCTTAATATATTTTTGAGTACTTTACATAGCTATAGAAAACTCCCTCCGTCTACTTTTAATTGTCATCGTTTCTTTTCTTGGCAAACGATAAGAGCTTTGACTACATTTTATGACGTATTTTTCATCATATTGATATGCAAAAAATTGCAATTTATAGTACTTTTCATATATTTTTTGAATATCTTATTTTTTTTGTTTAAAATATCGAATTAGTGTAATCTAATTTAACTTTGAAAATTAGTCAAATTGACTTTCAAAAAGCGCAACATGACAATTAAAAGTGGACGGAAAGAGTATTTTAAAAAATACATTACATATTTTTAGCACAAAAAATCATCTTAAAAAAACAGTTTTAGCACATTAATATAACAAACAGTTGCCATACCTAGGGGGGTTCACTGTTCGGATTGGGTCGGTTTTTATTAAAGCCAAAATCAAATTTTAATTATTAAAACCAAATCAAACTAAATATAATATAAATTTATCAGTTTAATTGTTATCGGCTTGGGTTTAGTTTGATTCCATTATTCGGTTTTTAACTATACATAAGTATATACTCTTCATTTTTCTACTATTATTCCTTAGTTTAAACAAACAAATAAAGTGAATTTTTTTATTAGGTAAATGTAACATCACTTCTTTAAAAACCTAAAACATACTCAAAATAAGTCAAACATATTTAATTATGCATTTTTTTTTTTTTGAATCAAGTAACATTTTGTATTCAAGCTAGTACTTAGGTAGTATGAAAAACCATATTCACAAGAGTGAGATTAGATACAGAGTATGCCAAAAGTAAATCAGACCTAAATGGTATCTAGCACAACTAGGATTGATTATGTATCACGAGAGTACAATTTAGTATACCAAAAGTAAAATAACAAAATACAATTTAGCTTAATCTTTTGTACTGAATTGCACCTATTCTCAAAGCATCTATCATTTCTTTCTTTCTAATTTGTCCACCATATACATGAAGGGATGATCCTCCATCTCTCTATTATTGCTCCAACTTCCTCTTAGCTAAAAAAAGTGTCAGCAATCTTGCTTGGCAGGGAAAAACTTCAACTAAAGATTCAGAAGGGAAATGGTATTTCAAGAATTAGAAAAACTATCAAAGACAAAAACTCTCCCAGGCACATATCCCTAGGCTTCTTTCTTAGAGGTCCCTTCTGGACCTAGATTACCTTTTTTCCGGTTATATCCAATCACCGGAGTCCACTTTTCGTACCTTCTTCAACTCTTTTGCACCCTCCAATTTCCCTCTTTCATGGACAATAGACTTTGTTTTAGATCTGGGAGAAAATCTTATGAGATTTCTATATATTCATTGGAAATTCAATACTTTGGTTTGATTGGGTGGAGAATGTCAGGAATTACATTAGAAGGTTAACTCTAAGTGAAGGTGCTTTACTCTAGCTATGCAGAAGAATGAGCGGGGAAGAACTTTAAATCGTGGAGATGCAGAAATCTCTCTACTTATATTTATTGCTCTCAAAAGTTCAACAAGTACGGAGGTCCCTTTCCATTATTACAGTTAAGGGATATAACAGAGTTGTGATCATCATTCCAGAAAGTTCTTATAACGAGGGGCGGGGCTTGGTGGCTACAAAGATTGAGGAATTTATTACAGAGAAAACTAGCACTATTATGAATGGAGGTACAACATAACAACTATTAAATAAGATAGGCAGCTTCAAAGATGCTCTTAATAAGAGTAAGTGGACTTTAAAGGAAGCTGAGGTTACTGAGGTTGATGTTGTGAAGAACCAACTTTCTGTGAAAACTCAAGAGGGTGATAATGATCTTCTGCGCAGATATCTAGTTGGTCGATTCAATGGCGGGGATGAAGTTTCGACTCGCAATGAGGTGAGAAGATGAGATCAACGGACATGGAAAGGGACTCAGAATATCCAAGTGTATGTCATGAATGGTTTTCAGTTTCTCTTTGAGTTCCAATCAAGGAAAGCTGAACACATTCATATGTCTGGTGGTCTTTGACGAAGGGCTCCTTTCCGGTCCAAACCAAGTTTGATTGGTTTTGATGAGTACATGGTCTTCCTCTACACCTGGTCCACAGGAGTCATGAAAGAGATGAGTGATAAATGTGGAGGTTGGCTGGAAAATGAAGAAGAAACTGAACTTAAAAACCACCTGCGATGGGCTCGTATTCGTGTTAAGGGTCCGAGGGAGACGATACAACTATCCATTGATGTTGATGATGGAAATCTGATCTTCTTCTGTGCCCATATGGGTAGAGTCGTCGGCGATGTACAAGAAAAAAGAGATAGTTACTAACCCTAGACAGTTGACTATAGCTGGTAAAGGAGAGACGAGTAGTTCTAGGTTGTGGGAAGTATATGAAGACTTTTCATGAAAAAGGTAAAGAGGTTGTAGGTCCCAACAGATTTTGTGGGGTCTGACACACCAGGTGGTGTCAGTGTTAGAGTAGGTGGCTTGTAGTAGTGTTGAATATTTGAATTGAAAAGAATCTATGGGGCCTGATCCAATTCTTTTAAATTCCACTTTGCCACTAGATCCATACCAACTAGAAAATCCTTTTGGGCCGATCCATTTAACTCCCAGACCAAAGCCCACATCAGAACCATTTATTGAGCCTATTGGGTCACAAGAACCTTATCAAGAGGAGGCCTGACTCCTTTTCCAGAAATCAACAAGTGAGATGAGCTTTTTAATTAAGAAGTCTAATGGATTCACAAAACCCTTTGCAAAATCCATTCTAAGGGAGTCGGACAAATTAGAAAAAATCTTGAACATTCCAGCATTGACGAGGACACAAAATTCTGCATGGAATGGAAACAACTCCCAGGAACTTTCAGAGCTGTAACATAGACAATTTGCAGATCAAAGAAAGTAAAGAAACAAGCGATATAGTTTCAAGCCAACTAGATAGCATCAAGGGAGTGACGGTGAGGGGGTAGAAGGCGTTATAGAGCTTTTCAGAAAACAAATGATGGAGTATGAGGACCCTAAACCATTAGCAATGGATGACAACATCGTAGAGGACTGTATCGAATCACAAGCAACGCTAAGGTTTTAGCTCAATCTACTCAAACTTAGTCGTTTGCTTGGAGTCTCTACCAAGGGGCATGAAAAATAATTTTATTCCTTAATCATGAAATTAGAGCAAAACAAGCCAAGGGAGAATTAGAGACTAAAGGATAGCTCATCAAGCAATAACAATAGTGTCCCAAAGGAATTAAGGATTTAATTTTCAACATGAATTTCAAGGATGGTGAGCCAAGAATCAGAGGAAGAAGCCTAACTATTGTGGAACAATGAGGGTGAATTTTTTTTTTTGGTAACTGTAATTGTAGTACTAGATTTTCAAATATGTACAAATTTGAAGCTTAGGACATGGACATAATCCCAAGTCTCAAAGCCCATCACCTTTGCCTTGTCCAGGCTCTATGCTAGAATTTCTACTAAGGATAAAAATTTAGTTTATGCATTGCACTAGCCAGTCTAGGATTCATGCTACTTCTACAATGAATTTCCTAAATGATTTGCTTTATAATGTCCTCTATGCTCCTCTCCCTTTGCTGAAAAATTATGTGATTCCTCTCTTGCCATATGTAATAAGAGCTGTAGCTAATGTCATTCTATACACTTCATCTTGTATTGATTTCCTGTTAGCATGCATTGCTGCCCATTCTATCTCTTCATTCCACCCTGCACTACTTCTGGTGATGGACAACCATTGAAGTAGTCTTTGCCATATCACAGTTGCCACACTACATGCAAAAATAGGTGCTAGTGTGTTTCAGGTTCTGCTTTGCACATTGCGCACAATGAATCAGTGTTTATCCCCCATTTGTCTAGCCTATCTTTTGTGTACAATCTCCTTTGTATAGCCAAGTATAGGATGAATTGTCCATTTGGGACTGCCTTGATTGTTGCATATCATTCTTCTCCATGGCACCTTGCTCAATTCACCTCTAAGTGTTTTGTACATGTCCTTCATTGTGAAAGTTTCTGCCTCCATAACCTTTTCCATTTGTAATCCTGCTTCTGATATCCAATGCCCTGCTTGTAGGATTTTCCTCACAACCCAAGAAGCTTGTTTAGCTTGCATTTCCCATGGTCTCCTATCTTTGATGTAATAAGTATGGACCCATACTATCCATAACTTATCCTTTTTCTTAGACAGGTCCCACAAATATTTGAGTATTGCTGCTTTATTTCACACATACACATTTGTAACGTTCAGTCCACCAGCAACCTTTGGCCAACATAATTTATCCCATGCTACAAGAGCTTTCCCTTTAGTTTGTGCATCACCATTCCATAAGAATCTCTTGCATATAGTTTCTATCTGCTGCAACACTTTCTTTGGAAGGAGAAATACTTGTGCCC